AAATTTTCTCCTATAAAAATTGTTAAAAAGAAACAAAACACATCTTCTCGTATGTAGATAACTACTTTTCGGCTCATCTTCAAACGCCGAACCAGAATATCATTTTCATTCAAAAGTTTCGTATTTTTTAAGTTCAAAACATACATTTCGTTTTGTTAATCAAACAAAGTCTTTTCTTCTATCAAAACATTTTTCAAATACACATTTTAACGACAATCTTTTCGATGTAATAAATTCTAGATAAATTCCGATGGAATTTCAAGAAAAAGAACAAACAAGCGTTCTCTAGACTACTATCCATACCAAAATACAGTGCCGGGTGCCATGTTTCGAATAACTTTTGACAGGAATGAGCTAGAGACCTGTGGTTTTCACCATTCGAAAGAGGAGACTTGAAGACATGCTTTTATAACCAAAATTGTTTCCAGAAGAGTTTTCTGAAACAGGTTTTCTAGGAGATCTTTGGAAAACCAGGCCGTCTGTAAAAATTTCCCAATAGGATTATATTGCTTTTCTTTCATGGACTGATAGCCCGGAGTGCCATCTTCAAAATAAGAGTGAAGTGAGAGTTTGGTTTTCCGGGGTTCAGGCGTTGTATCGGATTTCCTACAAGTCCCAGGACTGGTTCCTGGTTGCTGTTGGTAGTCTAAAAGACGATTGGACTATGGGCAATTGACCATGCTGAGTCTCGTGGCAATATTTGTTTTTAGAAAAATTTGTAAAAATCCACCTTAAAGCCAATTTTACGAAAATTAGGCTTTTCAGGCTGTTTTCACCTAATATTACAAAATTCACTATTCACTCAATAAACATCAGAACGAGTTCAAAATTTCAGAATGTGGAGTATTTAAGCTATTCTATATCCTATTTATAGGAGATGTTGAAAGAAATTTTACAAAACCCTGAAGTTTTCCAAAAGGCTTTCCGAAGACCTATCAACAAAAATATGCTTTTTCGATTTTTTCTATCTTATAATCATGTTTAGCGGATAACATTAATCATATCCTGAAATTTCACTCCCATTTTGAAGATGGCACTCCGGGCTATCAGTCCATGAAAGAAAAGCAATACAATCCTATTGGGAAATTTTTACAGACGGCCTGGTTTTCCGAAGATCTCCTAGAAAACCTGTTTCAGAAAACTCTTCTGGAAACAATTTTGGTTATAAAAGCATGTCTTCGAGTCTCCTCTTTCGAATGGTGAAAACCACAGGTCTCTAGCTCATTCCTGTCAAAAGTTATTCAAAACATGGCACCCGGCACTGTATTTTGGTATGGATAGTACTAAAGCATTTTGTAGTAACATTGCTTCAACATACAATATTTCGTCAATCAGATCCTGGTCGTTCGAACTGTATGCTTGATTTTTCAGTTTTTCTGGAATGAGAGAATGACATTCTAGAACAGGTGTTTTCCGGAATGGATACATTTGTCTATTAGTGGTTTCCCCTTCTGCTGATTCATCTACTTGTTGAATAACTCTAATTTATCTCTACTTGCGTAAAACAAGTCACAAATCGCTATCAGACTCTTAATAATAATAAAATGAATAGTAAATATAAATTTTTAAAAACAATTAGTATATCGACACTTAATCTAAAATGGTCAGAGTCTTATGGACGATCCGTATCGCGAAATAAACGTGCAAAAAGAAAAGGCAGCAATTCTACTATAAAGTTGAATGAAGATGTTTGAATCAAACATTTACACAGACATTTACAATGAATCAGACATTTATACCATTATTTTTGCACCATATGTTAGTATCAAACAGTCTGATACTAACATATGGTGCAAAAGTAATGGTGTGAATGTCAAGCCGTATTTCTCAGCGATGGAGCGTCGGATCACTTTGAAGTTTTTTTGTTTGAAAGAGCAAAATCTAGAGAACAAATTTGTCTGGCAAACGATTTTTTATTTATCCAATTTGAACAGTACGACAAAAATCTTTCGATTAACCTCAAGAAGGACTTGCAACGTACTTTTTTTTTTTATTCATTTCACTTTAGCCTGAGAAGAAAAGCTTTGAAAACTAAATAGATGAGAATGTAGTTCGTGCAAAACTCTATCGATTTCTCTACTTTCTAAGAGTTCCTTAATAATTCCTTAATAGTAAAAAAAACGTATTATAAAACTCAGTTTTAGTAGAAAAGCACCACTTTGCATGGGAAGATGACACATCGAGAAAATTTCTATATTTATGACTCAAAATATATTAGTAAAGATTTTAAATAATGTAAATTTGCAGAGAATTGAATGCTGTTTCAGAAAATGCCTTTTAGCAAAAGGAGGAAGTTGGTTCAGTATCTGAAAATTATTAATTAAATCTAATTAACTGTGTTTCTGAAACTAATAAAAAATTTGCGAATTTCTGGTTGAAAAGTGGATCGAAAGACAATTTATCATTTTCCATTCGAAAGACCGATAAAAACACTTCTAGTTTCTAACAATTATATAATTTCACATATATTCTGTTGTAGCGAAAAAATATGCTTGATGAAGAAACATGTTTGAAGAGAGTGAAAGTTGCAAGAGCTTTTTTGGCGACGTTTGCTATTTAGACTTTTTCTCACACAAACTTAATCAGCAAAAATCTGTTCCTATGTTTTACAAAGTTCAGACTTTGCTCTTTCCAATGGAAAAAATAATTAATTCTTCAGCACGTCGGAAACATGGAGAAATCATGCTCGACATTTACACCATTACTTTTGCACCATATGTTACTTCACAGACAAATAACCTAGATTTTAGTATAATTTATTTAACTTCATGAATAAATGTAAAACGTTAACTATATTAAAAATTATGTACATATACCAGTTTGTTAGAGAACAATCGGAAAAAAAGGACTGGTACCTTTGAATTTATCCGGTAGTGAAAACTGAGTTTCAATAAGTAATCGACGCCATATAACTGCACCACTTATATTTTGATCAAAATAATGATAGGCATTATCGGCATACTTCCAGTCACCTGAACACTTATGTGGTTCATCAGTAATCGAGTCCTGTTTAATACCTGACCATCGCCAATAACAATTGCTGAAACTACATGTTATCGGTTCAACATATTTGTAGCACATTGGACATTTTGTTGTTAAACTATTTGAGTCTGTGACTAAATCAAATTTAGTCATACCAATTTTTATTTGAACCTGTTTTAAATAGGCTTCACATGCTAGATTATAACATATACCTTCTAAACATAGACCATGAGTACTAATACGCCATTTAGGTACATTCGAATTCCATTTTACTCGTTTTAAACCGGATGTATTACTAACGTCAACAAATTCTATACCCATTGCTCGTCCACCACGCAGTCCACCTACATGAAGATAGACAGTGGAGTCTTGAGTCACACCTTGTTCTGCTAATGAATGTTCATCCTTGAGCCGCATACCACCATGTACAAAATATTGTTGATCTTCGATAATACCTTCTTTTTTCTCAATTTTTGATTTGAGGATGGAAAGTGTATCTAATGGGTCAACATCTAATGTGATTAGATAAGTATCCAATATTTTAACAAATATTTGCATCTTTTTTATTCCTCAAAAAAATAAAACACATTATTAAGTGAAATCTTAGTCATTCAATTAAAACCCGTTGCTTACTACGAAATAAAAAATATAAGTCGTCTGATTATTAGGTTAGTTGATGAATATGTCTGTGTGTTTCGTCGTGTCCTTAAATAAATGAAAATGTATGACTGGTTTTTACCAGCTTTCAAAAAAGAAATCATTCTTTACTTCCTTTACATACCGATAAGAAAATGGCTGTTTCCATTGGATACACTCCATGACGCATAGGAATGTTGAAGAATACTTCCAACATTCTGCTATCAATTAAGTTTTCGATACTAAAACTACCCAGCCTATTTTGTAATATTCTGGCGTAGACTAACGAAGAAAATTATTTACATTTCTATTTCAGTTCGAACTCAACATACCGAAACTATTTGTTAAGTGTCAAAAGCGAGAGTATTTTTGACCGAATGTGTCTGTAACAGGTTGAAGTTAGTTAGTTAGTTACTAGCTAGAACTAGCTGGAATAGTTTCCACGTCTTTAAAAATGAATCTTCTTTTTAAATGGTTAAATCAAGATAATTGTTCAGTACGGTGTTGCAACACCGTACTGACATCTACCAACTATGTCTAATTCTTTCATGAAAGAATTAGACATAGTTGGTAGATGTCGCTAGACGATAGCGATTGGGGTTAAATTCTATCACCGTTTTGTTTAGACACAAGGAGGGAATAAATATTGAAGTTTGACTTTTAGATGAATTCGTTCATCATATGAACGAGCTCATCAGTTCTAGTTTCTTCGAACAGTTAGCAAGAACAGATTTTTGTTGCGAGATTTTTTATTCGCTTCTTACTGGTGGAAATGCACTTTCTTCACGTACTTTATTTCCATTTAGATAAATTTGGGTTCTTGATACTTCAAAGGTTCTCTGTGATAATAAAAAGATAAGAGCAATATGCTACCATTCAATTTTAATTGATGTTGTTGTCCAATTTGTCTGCATTTATATATATTATATCCTCACATCACTACAGTCAAATTCTAACTGAGATTCTCGTAGAATTCGAAAAGTTGCTATCAAACAACTGTCTCACTTCTGTTGTTGTCCTTCCTCGTTTTCAAAAATAAAATGTAATGACCGTTGAACAATCGGGGATCGTGTTATTAAACGTGGTAAAAGTCAAAATGAAATTGAAAAATCACTAATACCACTACTACCATTAAATTTAAACTTTTTTTGAGAAACCCTAGATAGTGCAAAATGGCGAAATCGGTCAAGTTCAAAAATTTATAACTTAATAGTATTACTAGTGCAGAACAAAAAAGTAGAGCTATTCTCTTCAAGACGTTTATAAAGCTAAAGCATTGTGCAAGAATCACAAATGTAATTACAACAATCCCGACAGCATTTGCAACAGCAATCACAATTATGACTTTTCGGCCTTCTTCTCTCTAGTACCAGCGGCTGTCTCTCACCAGAACGCTTTCGGTTGCTCATCATCATCTATACTAATAACTATTTTTTCAAAAAATCGCTTGATGAACGTTATGACGCTCGGTTGTATTTGTAACTGTCTATTGGATTGATAAATAAAGTTTATACAAAAAAAATCCTTTTAATTATTTCTCAAAGTTCAATACCAAGGAGTAGAAAACTAAAAAATTTCAATTATCTGGTGAATATCAAACATTTAAATAAACCATGACAAATCCACTTTTAACACTTATTGCAATGCAGTTAACTCGTTATGTTTTAATATTATTCATTTTTCTTGGCACTAATGTTATGAAAGCCACAAACCATTTCAGTACTTTTCAGGGCTTCTGATAAAACAAGACACGATATCGTGGTGAAACATGCAGAACGCGACATAGAAACATTTTTTTAAAATTAGCTGCATCACCGGTCGAAAACGTTCATAATACAGGGGGAAGAAAATTAAACTGTATCCTAAACGGTTTTTTGCTGCTGTGCAAGTAACGCTGAAGATGCCCCTAGTAACCAATCTGTCAAATTCATGCTTGTAACGGTCTGATTGTAATACTGACTTGGTCAATCATGTCACCAACAAACTTCTACTTTGAAATGAATAAAGTTGAATGGCAAAATAAACGAAATATTTTCCGATTGTACATTATAAATTTCGGCTGTTTAGGTGATGGTCTAGCTTCATCAGAAGCTGCTTGAGTTTTCTTTTACAACTTCGTATTCAAAGATCTGCGATGAAGGAAAATAAGCTTTTTAATGCTTTGTAAGTGCGAAATTCAAAGGACGACGAATCAGAATACTCTACATATACTTTAGATTGTGATTGGACTAAAACCAAGTTTTAACTGCAAGTCTGATTTTTGATGGATAGAATAATGGAATATAATATATCTTTGTCAATAATAAGATCATACTGACCAAACTGTAATATGTGTGTATATATGCTTATTATTCTAACAGTCTCAGATTTGAAGAGCTTTAGATGGGGTCAGGTTAAACACAGATGAATTTTTTGAACATATCTTACCTAGATTATGTGGGAGCAATGATAATGTTAATATTTTTGAACTAGAAACGACAATCTTGCCGTTAAGCATGACGAACGATAGATTTCGAATGTTTATTTTCGTACAAAAAGAGTAAAAGAGTTCGAATTTTTCGAAAACTCTGTTAAAAACGAACAGAGCAACCCAGGACCGGTTTCGACCTTGCTCAAGGGTCGCTTCAGCTGGGTTATGGTGTGAAACATGGTGAAAAAAATGAATGCACGTACTTACGTGTCATTGTTAGTCAAATAATAACAACTTATCTTGTTTTAAATAAGAAGTTATGTTCTTCTTATTGAAGAAGAAGAAACTAAAGCACATTTCTCTATGGATAAAAAGAACTCGTGTTCTTCTATCCGAAAAAGACGAAAATAGAGCACATGTCTGTGTGTGTATATCGCTATGAATAAGAAGGAATTTTTTATTTCCTCTATCGAAAAAGAAGAAAATAAAGCACTTGTTAGCCTTTTTTCTCGAAAAAAACACATGCTGCTTGAACAAGAAATTCGCACTCGCCCGACAAGACTAAAAGAAGAAAGAACACGTTCGAGTATCCCCGGTGGCGTCAGGTGGGGATTCCAGTCGAAATCTTGTTTGTCGAAATGGACTGGTGCCACACTGCACACTGGTCCGGTTTTTAGTCGATCGATGTTCTCCCATCCAAGAATCTCCCTAGTAGAGTGTAAAAACCTGAACAACAGAGGTGGTGGCGGGGGTGGCGAGTGGTGAGAGTGAGCCACTCGACAAC